GAGCCCTTTGGCTGCCTGGGCAGCAGCGAGGATAAGGCTTCCACAGGAGAGGTGATCAGCCTGTGCGCAGCCACGCACGGGGGTGCCAGTGGGCATGTGGCCACAACAGGTAGCCCTTGTTAGCCTTACCCAGGGGCTGGCAGGCAGGAGGGGCGCAGTGCCGCCGGCCTCCATGCAGTTTATCAGTGGTGCATGCAGGCACAATCCCCGCTGCCCGTGCTAGGAAGGGAGGTCGCTCGGCAGCTCGTGTTCTCCAGGGCTGATGTGGGGATGCCCTTGACCTCCTGCGTCTTGGATGACCCGTCCCTCAGAGTTCTATCTGTCTCCAGCAAAAGCCGTTGCTGTGGTCGTTGTTTGGAAAGGTGTTTATTTTCTGTCTTGCTTTCAGAAGGATGATCTCAAAGAGGCTGAGGGGTGAATCTCCCCAAGTCACCAGAAGCTAAGCACTGGACATAGTGAAATACTAAGTGTTTGCTTTTTCATTTAAATGCTATGTGCAGGCAACACCCTTATTTATCCTCTACAGCTTTTGCAACAGCAACACATAAAACCATAGCAACAAACCTGAATGACTGCAGTATCTGCCTGGCCATGATTTCTCCATCCCTGCAGTTTGGGCTGAGGGGAGCAGTGCATATCTTGGCAGGGAGGCAGGTGCTGGTACCTCAGTTGCAGTGTGGTCCCGGCACCAGACACAGACAGGGCTTGGGACCTGACTTGTTCTGCCTGGTCGTTTTTTTCAAGCATTCAGTGTTAAGAAACTTCTTAGGCTGGAGTCCCTCACTGTTGAAAGCATGCTGATGTGATACACTCTTTTCTCATAGATATAAAGGGGTTTCCTTCACAACCTTACTTATACTGGTACTGCGTAACAAAATATCACTAAAATTGACTTTCCTTCTGAATGTTTTTCCTCTCATTTCTGTGATGACTGGAAAATGTTGCTTTGTCAAACGTATTTTTATTTAACCACAAAGGACCATTCCAGGTGTTCCTCTCCACTGTCTGTACTCTTTTAATTGTTTCTATATAAGCTATTAAGGATAGTGCATCCTGATGTGGGTCTCTGATGTAATGAGAGCGATCTTCAGACATAGAGTTATTCTAATATTTAGAGATAGGCTTTTACCAGATATGAACATTTTGGGGACAGCCTGTCACGATCCCTCTAAATAGTAGGACAACCTTCCAGCAGATCAGCTGTTCCTCTTGGCTGGTACTCATGGCAGATCTTATGTAAAAGGATGGGGTTTAATATTTTTTAAAACATACCCAACATGTTATAATAGGTGATCAAGCTGTCTAACACTCCATTTGGTCCCAGGGTCTCTCAAAAAAAAAACAGAATACTCCAACCACTGAACCAGCAAATGTACTTACCATGGAGCAGACAAAAGCCCCAGAAAATAGGCTAAGGATGAAACCTATAAGCACTGGTCTCTGAAAGATGGAAGAACATTTACATAAGAAATAAACAATTACAAAATTATTTCCTCACGTAAAAAGAAAACCCAACCTGTACAGCCCACTTGTGCTGAAAGCCGTACCCTTGGGAGGAAATGATGTATAAGTCCTAGCTCCCCCACCCTGGGAGAGAAAATAGCATTCATCATGCATGGGGTGAATGCAGAAAGACAATGAAACCATAATGATTTGCTTAAAGGAATGGCAAACAGAGGCAGAAGAGTTAAATGTTTGAGAGGTAGAAGTCAAAGCTCCTGGAGATGTGGTATCTTACACATGCTGTCCCACAGCAGAGGCCATGCTCAAGAATGCAAGAAACAAGTAACAGACCTAGAAGCACAGCTGCAAAACAAAAAATAAAGAAGTAGCATCTTTAATTACCAACACTGTTGTAAGAAACCAGAAGGACCTGGAAAATGTCCCAGGATGTAGTAAAAATTGGATTATAAAGAAAAATCAACATAAAGAAACAGTTCAAACGTAATTAATAGATGTAATCTTGAGTAATCTTAAGAGGAAATGTTTCAGAAGTCACAGTTAAAGCCAAACTATAAAAACCTAGTGGCCTTGGTAGATCTTTTTGTTTTACAGGGTGATCGACTGATGGACAACAATGTGAAAAGCAGCAGCCAGACCCAGGGACAGAACTGTCAATTTCACTAATGTTCTTTTAAGCAAATGTGTAAATACCAGAAGGAATTTAGGAGGGCTATCAAGAAGGTAAAAAGTTAAAAGCAGTGGGGAAACTAATTAAATGCTATCAGCACTCTAAGTATCAGTAGTTAGCACTATAGCATATCAGTAGTTAGAGGCTGAGAAAATTGTGGGTTAAGTCTGTTTGTATAAAGTTTTGAGGTCTGAAAGGCACAGTGAATAGTATTATATTATGATTTAACTATAAAAAAAGAAATACAATATTATGATTTAACTCTAACAGAAGGATAATTACATAGGTACATATGAGAGGATACTCATACCTCTCCAATAACCACACTTAACAACTATATTCTTTTGTTTCTAAGAATTAACCCTATAAAATTCATGATCCTAAGTAATGAATCCTATAAGTCATGAATTATGTATGTTTAATTTCCTTAGTTTAAAGAAAAGGAATGAAAAAGAAGATGGCAAAAGCTGTGTATAAATATATCAGCTGCTGATTTAAAATAAAGTGTAGTTTATCTGTTTATCGTAGAGAATACAGGGAAACAACTCATAGAGAATTGGTAAAGAGTGACTGAGTAAACTGGAAGCTCCTATGAAGGGAAATGTCTGGGGAACAAAGATTGCTATTAATAACGATGTTCTGTTAATCTTATTTGCTAGAGGAAACAGCAAATTGATCATCCCATTCCAATCCTAAAGATAATGATCTATGTATGTTATGTGTATGCATGTTTGTGTTTGTTTATGAGTATCCCTCTATGCATGTACAATACATATTGCAAAATGTTGGGAGAGATGAATTGCTAATGAAGTCACATAAACTCCCCTATGAGATCTGGGTCTAATCACATCGTCGGTATGTCTGCTACTTTCTTCACCGTCTCACCAGTAAGACTAACAAAGGATTTGTAAAATAGTCAACAAATGAATACATTGCTACACAGTCATAGAAGGATTATCAATCATGAAAGTTATGAACAGTTGAATATCATTCGGTTCAGAGCCTACTGTACATCTAAAAAAAAAAAATGTTTTCCTTGAATGGTGCCTTCAAGACCACAGGGCTGCAACATGTTGTACTGTTGTTTATTCTGTTAAATACTGTGCACATTTACATGTGGTGTACCTCCTGCTGATGACAGCACCCTGTCACAGGATGGACCCACCTGCTCCACAACACCTGGGAGACAAGAACAGATGTTGCCACAGCACTGCCTCGTCAGTGAATGGTCAGTTGTTGCAGTGGACCTGGCAGATGGGTGTAAAAGCACTAATATCCTTGGTTCTTACATAAAGCCCAGCATCCAGATCTGCTGTGGGTTGTCGTTTCTTCTATCCTGCCCATGACAGTGGTCCAGCTAGTTCTGGGGTCCACACATCTGGTCTGTATCTGTCCAATCTGGCTACAAGGATATTATGAGACCATGCTGAAATCTTGCTAGAACGAAGGCAAACCACCACTACCACGCTGCCTTCATCCACTGAAACAGCCCTCCCATCATCTCACAATAGAAAACAAACAGCTTGACTAGGCACAGTTTGCCCTTGGTAAACCTATGCTGGCTGTTTCCAATCACCTTTTGTTCTTCACATGCCTGATAATGGCTCCCAGAGGGATTTGTCCCTTAATCATCACATGGTTTAAGGTGTGGGTGATCATCCTTCAGCTCCCTGGGCCTTTACTGCCCTTCTCGAGGATGAGCATGACGCTTGCCTTTTTCCAGTCACCAAGGACTCTTCCTGGCTGTCATGATCTGGCCATTCTTGGGGTAGAGACAGGAGGCTCAACCAGCTGTTCCTACCTTTCTCCACTGAGATCAGAAGCATTTTGCTTAATATTAGTCTACACCTGGGAGACTAATAGTAAGGCAGCCACCTTTCCTGCCCAAGACATTTGGGTGCCCCTCCTTCTTCTTAACCAGTCCTACACCCTTGATCACCTCATTGCTATAAAGACTAAGCAAACCCTGAGCAAATGTGACCTTCAGGGGGACACACAGCAGAACAGGATTATTCAAGGCCTCTTCTGGTTTCATTGAGAACAGATGTGGCAGTTAAATTTCATGTCTGCTTCACAACATATGCATCTTTTACATATGCAGGTATGCCTGTGTGCACGCACGAGTGTATGCCTGCAAGCATTGCCCAAAGAGGACTGACCAGGAACAGACAGTAGAAGAGATTGGTTGAAGGAGGTATAAATCCTTTCACACGGTTATCGTCAGTCCAGGGCAGCAGTTCATAAGCTCCTCTGCTCAGGGACCTCCAGGGCTATGGCTCCTCTCTTACCTCCGTGGGCAGGCTCACAGCCCGGCATTTGGGAGCTTCTCTAACAGCGTGCTGGTGGCTCTGGGTGACTTTATCCAGCCAGGACCAACCCGGGCATGTCTCCAGCTGCACAATGCAGGAGGCTGGACTTGCCGCAGTGCCTCTGGCTGATGGGATTCATAAAAGCAAACAGAAGCAGCTTGCCAGCCACCTTGACTTCGAGGGGCCGAGCCGAGGGCACGTGGGAAACTGCCAGTGAGAAGCGGGGGATCAGAGAGGAAATGCTGCCAGCAGCTCGCCCCCGTGCTGGGAGGTGTTCACGCACAGAAAATCATCCAGGAGAAATGATAGCTGTAACCATGACAATGTCAGCAGCACGGCACTAGCAGCGCTTCCTCAGGGATTAACACTTTTCCATACCAAGAGCATATCTCCCTTCTTCTGATGTGCGCTGTTGATTCAGGGGTAGTCCATCCTTGCTTTATCTTCCTCAAAGCGGAGCTACCTGGGAAATTGCTTTCTCTGCAAATTGCTTAGGCAGGACTATCTGTAAATGAAAATATTTTTACAGAAAGTCTGTCCCAGCCCATGTGCTCATGGAGCACTCTGTACCACAATCCCAACCTAATCACCCTCCCTTGACTGTCCCCACCATAGGCAGGAACTGCTGCTGACTGAAACTGAAGTTGTTTTGTTTCAATAAGCATGCTGCTATTTTCTAAGGTGTGACTCAGAGCCTTTCAGTTAGGTGTCAGCAATTGCTATTTGCTAGAAATAAAATCAATATTAACCAATTCTGCCTTTTTTTTTTTTTTTTTAAGTAGGTTTTTGTCTTTTCCTGCTCCAGATCATGAGCGAGGTGCACACAGAGCAGAGCTCAGCGAGGCTGGTCCTGGCTGTGTACGAGTGCCTGCTCCTTGCATCAAGGGCTTCACGGAGGGGTTGGGCACTAACAAGCACCATACTGGTGGTAAAAAAGGAAAGGCAAACCGTGGGCACTAAGCAGCCTGACAGGCTGGCAGGCCTGCTCAGTGCTCAGCCTCTCGTGCCTGTATCAGCCATGGGAATTATTGTTGTTGTTGTTATTATTATCATTATTTTGCAGAGCTCATCTTTACTCTTCTTCTGTCTGGGTCAACAAAGATTGAGCTGCATCAATGTTTACCCCTAGGAAGGCACAGCAGTGCTCTTTTATGATATATGAAATTGCAGTAATAAGCATAAAGAGTAATACTCAGCATCTGACAGGATGACTGATGTAAGCTATCAGCCAATATTTGACTTTCCAGGTGAGATTAGATTTAGCATTTAATTGAATATAAACATAAAGCGTGCAGTACAAGGCACTTATTTAACAGACAATTGCTTATAGCCTTGTGCAGGTTGGAGGCTACTTCAAGTTGAAGATCCAGCTGAGTTTTAAAATCCTGAGTGCTACTGTGAATTTCATTAGAGAAGGGCACAGAAAAGGTAAGTTTCTGTTGGCAATGCTTTATTTCCTGTTGAAAAAGCATAGTAATTTTTGTTCTGTATCAGAGAAAATGCAGAGAGATTTTACAAACAAAAAAGTTTCAAAGCAGTTTGTATTTGGATTTGCTTATAGCTTGCTTATCTTTATCCCCTATCTTTGAGTGTGTGAGTGTATAATTGCAGATACCTACATGCATGTGTACCTGTGTCCTTCTGTGCATGCGTGCCTGTTCTGTGCACACTGGTATCACCTGGCTAGTCCAACAAGCAGTGGAAGGTAGATCACTGAACTCCTGTTCAAAAGACACCTCAATTTCTTACTAGGGATGAAAATTCACTGCCTCTTACCATAGGCTTCAGTAAGCTTATCATTGCTTGAAGACTGCACTGAGATTAAGTGACTTTGGAAGCTTTGCCTCATGTTGTAGGGCTTGGTTGACCTAAAGCATTGAAGGACAGGTGTTATACAAAAGCATCAGACTGAAATGCTATACCACAGCCTTTGGTTTTTGCAGGCTATCAGGTTGCAGTCTGGTCTCGCCCTCCTCTTTATGTAGGAAAGGCAGAAAAGGACAGTAGCTTTTCTCAGAGCTTCTTGAGAGCTCCTTCACTGGAGTCGGTATGTGATAATTTCTGCCCCAGACCTAGCTCAGTTCAAGCAGGACCAGATGGATCAGAACAGAGTGACTGGATCAGGGGACTATCTGGACAAAAATAATCAATTGCTGAGCAGGTATCTCTCCCTTATCTCTCCTCCACACCCCCACTGCTCTGCTCCAGGGTTAACAGCCTGGGAGCCTCAGCTGGGTCCCTCTCCCACCCTTTTCTCCTCTGCTAGCAACACTAGCAACACTGAAAGCCAGCCTTAGAGAAAGACCATGGAAAACAACAGCTCCCGACAGGTCCTGGGGCAGGTGTCCCCGCACTGCGTCCATAGGAAACCAGGCCAGCCTTGCCCCTGGGCGGGAGTGAGCTCTGCAGCAGAAGTGTGCTGGAGAGGGACGTCTCCTGTGTGATGGAGACCTGATTCATGATTTTCTGAACTGCAGCTGGGTCTGACTGTGGCGAGCTTTGGGATAGCTGGGAGAGGGGCAAGACAGATGTGGCTTTGCAGCACTCCTCAGCACCCCCCGCCCCTTTGGGGTGGCTGGCCCTAATGATGAGGCTATTCCAGGTAGGGGGGCTCTGCCTTCTTGTCCCTCCCCTGTCTATCAGGCTACCGTTTAGGAGTTAGCTGTCTGGCTATTATGCTCCCACGGACCCATTTGCGCTTGCATGGGTACGCCAGATGTAAAGTCTGAGACCAAACAGGAAAAGGGGAAGGTCACATCCCTCCCTGAGAGATCCTGGGCAGCGGCCTGGAGTGGCACTGTGCCGGCCCTTACAGGACCTGGTACATCGTCTTCTCCTGTGTGAAATGCTTCTTCAGTGTTCTGCCTCAGCAGGGAAGGCAGTGTGCCTCAACCCCTATAATATGGGTCATGAGGCCCCATGGTCACTAGTCTTCACCAACATGTATTCTGCTTCCCACAGACCAAAAGTGACCTGAGTGAGGAGTAAGACCTCCTGGGGTCTCTGAACATCTTGAACCACTCAGAGATGGGGATTCTCAGCTGATCTAAAATTGGTACTGCACTTTTAAGTGGCGGGTGGCAGGTGTTAGTAGTTAATTGTCATAATGTGAACAAGAGAAACCAACATAACTGGTTTAATATAAATATTTGATTAAATTAAGTATCATGTTGTCTCTAGTTGCTGTAACTTGCAAGGATGGCTGAAATGCGAAACTTCACTTGGGCAGTGGAAAATATTTTCAAGGAAACCTTTCTCACTTACATGAATGGCTGGAGGAAAAACATGACAGAAACGGCAGATAAACTGCAAGCCAAGGTTGATGCTGAAAACTTTGACTATGTTATCCTTTATTTGATGGTGATGATTGGGATGTTCTCCTTCATTATCGTGGCAATCTTGGTGAGTACTGTGAAATCAAAGAGACGAGAGCACTCCAATGACCCCTATCATCAGTACATCGTTGAGGACTGGGGAGAGAAGTACAAAAGCCAAATTCTGAATCGAGAAGACCTCAAGTGTGTGATCCATGAAAACCTGGGTGCAAGGGACAAAATAAGCCCCGGATCACCTTGACTTTTTGGAAGCATCAGCAATGAGGAATAATATAGCTACATGCAGGAAACTCACTGGAATTACAAATATCTGTGAAACTGTTCATTAAATTAACAGACAGGTCAATGTGGAACAGAGTGCTGAGGAAATCAACATTACTGTTTCCCACGAGGACCTTGGCACAGCTGTTCGGGAAACACCCAGGAAAAATGCATGATTCTGCTTTGCTTTGATATTCTGTTCTTCAGGAAAATAAAACCAAGAGAATGAATAACTTGATTTTTTTTTAAAGGTTTTTTTAAATCCAGAAGCAGATCTGGATGTTCCCAACTCACAGTAACTGTGAATTAGTGGTCAAAAGTGCTGATTTAGATCCAAACTGTATGACTTAAGCCCATCTTAAAAATAACTTGAAAACGTAGAGTAAAATATCAAAATCTCCACCTATTGATTGAGCAGTGTGTTATGGTATGAATCATAGGAGGTAACCTATACTTACACACATTCCTTCCAAACTATTTTTCTAATGATCTGGCTTTCGTTTTTATTTAATTATTCATTGTCAGCAAAGATTGACTCACGGACTTCTGACAAGGCCTGTTTTATAGCAAAAAGAGCAGCTAAACTAGCAATCTCATCTAGGAACATGTCCTGGTTGTCTAGGGCAGCTTCCAGAGGTTCATCATCTGTCCTCAAGTCCATAGCTGACCAAGCTGCCTCTTCTGCTGCTCCTTGGTTCTCCAGAGCAATCTGTCTATCTGGGATGCAAGCCGGGCGAGAGAGGTGCTGGCTACATCCCATCAGCCAGGGCTCGGTGTAAACAGCTGAGATCCTGCCTTCTGGCTTTCAGAGGAGGGATTTCTATACCCCGTTGTCAAGGCTGTCCCACTGCTATGCTTCCTAAGGGATTCCCATGTTGGGTACTTGTTTCCACTGGCTGGGGAATGAGTTTCAATATGGTTTGTCTTCTCCTGTGCTGCTGAAGTATCACAATGCTGGCTCTCAGGGAATGATATGAAGCAGAACTGGTGACACTTCTAGTATTAAAATGTGCTTCATTTGTAAGACTTTGGGGTTAGCTCCTATTCATGTTGCCAGACTTAAATCGCTTAAGCTAAAAGTTCCCATGCTGGCTGTCTATCGTGTGGGCTTGTTGTTTGTTTTTAGAAAGTTTTGGCTGAAACACTTCAGTCACGTCTGGCGCTGCATTTCCGACAATTTTGTTTTGCTCACGTTAAAGAGAAATGAAAAAAGGCTTCTGTTCTTGGGAAGCTTTGGCTCGTTTTGGAGACTGGTCTTGAGATCTGGCACGGCGGCAGCTGCCGTGCTCCAGATGTGCCTTTTGCTGGCAGCGCAACCGGCCTTTGAACAAGCGCGACCCCCGAGCGCTGGGGGAAGGTTTCCCAGGTCCCAGTACAGCCTGCTGGGGAGCCTCCCCCCACCCAGAGTGCCCCCCATTTCCCCCCACCTCCCCGGCCGGCCTGTGGGTGCCCGCCGGCTCCCGCCGCTCCCGCCATGGGTGTGCCCCCCACCCGGCCCGCGGGACTTTTTTCACGCCCCGGGGCCCGCCGGCTGGGAGAGCGCCGACATGGTGCTGCTCCGAGCGGGTGGCGGGACCCCGGGGGCCACCTGGGCCCGGCGTGGTGGCCATGCCACAGTCAGGGAGGCAGCCCCTTCGGGCAAGGCACAGTCGGAGGAGCATCCCTGGAGAGCTTGGCCGGGTGCACCAGCACATCCCCCGCGCTGCTGCCAGACCCGCTCAGGACAAGCTCCCCGCCAAAACCAGGCGGCAGCTCCCGCCCCTGCTGCTGGTGGCAGGCGGGCAGCTGAGGACGGGCATTTGGATTGCTTTGCCCTTGGACCTACACCCCTGGGGCATGGGGGGAGTGCTTTGCCTCTGAATTGTTGTTTTTGGGGGGGAAGGAACGGCATGGGACTACTGTCTGCTCTGGCCTCAGGTGGAGGGGCCGTGGCACGGCGGGTTTGGGGCCGTGGCACCGCGGGTTTGGGGCCGTGGCACAGCGGGTTTGGGGCTGTGGCGGGTTTGGGGCTGTGGCACCGCTGGTTTGGGGCTGTGGCACCACGGGTTTGGGGCTGTGGCACGGCGGGTTTGAGGCTGTGGCAGGTTTTGGGCCGTGGCACGGCGGGTTTGGGGCCGTGGCACCGCGGGTTTGGGGCCGTGGCACAGCGGGTTTTGGGCCGTGGCACCGCGGGTTTGGGGCCGTGGCACCGCAGGTTTGGGGCTGTGACACCACGGGTTTGGGGCCGTGGCACCGCGGGTTTGGGGCCGTGGCACGGCGGGTTTGAGGCTGTGGCGGGTTTTGGGCCGTGGCACGGCGGGTTTGGGGCCGTGGCACCGCGGGTTTGGGGCCATGGCACGGCGGGTTTGGGGCTGTGGCGGGTTTGGGGCCGTGGCACGGCGGGTTTGGGGCTGTGGCGGGTTTGGGGCCGTGGCACCGCGGGTTTGGGGCCGTGGCACAGCGGGTTTTGGGCCGTGGCACCGCGGGTTTGGGGCTGTGACACCACGGGTTTGGGGCCGTGGCGGGTTTGGGGCCGTGGCACCGCGGGTTTGGGGCCGTGGCACCGCGGGTTTGGGGCCGTGGCCGCGCTGCCGTCCCTGCCCCGCCGGGCCCTGCCGCTGCCGCTCCTGGGAGATGTAGTTTGTCGCGCCCTCCCGCCCGCAGCCATGGCCGCCCCGTGAGGTAGGAGACGCGACTCCCGGGTCGCCCCTCAGCCCGCTTCTCGGCGCCGTGCGGGGGGCAGGCGGGCTGGCGGGGGCGGCGGGGCGAGCCGCCGGGCAGGCGCTCCCCGCGATGCCCTCGGACGAGGGTTTCAAAGCAGCCGGAGGCAGGCTGGCTGGCGGGAGGCCGCGGGCGGGCCTGGTGCGGCCGGCTGCCGGCGAGCTGCCGCCGGGCACGGTGCACGGCCGCCTGGCAGGGCGCTTTCCTGCGTGTCAGTCTGCCGAGTTTTGCTGTTTTCTTAAGAAAAAAAAAAAAAAAAAAAAAAACGAAGCAAATTAGTCAGAAGGAGGGAGCTGACGTTAGCGTTTCTTGAAAAAGTTTGGTTTCCTCAAGCGCGTGTGTGGGTTGCTGGCTGCGCTGGTGCCCAGGGCAGAGCTGGGCTGGGGGTGGAGGCGGGAAGGGCTGCCGGCCCCGCAGCCCCTCCTCGGGCAGGGTGGTGGCAGCAAGCGGGGCCCTGCAGCTTGCAGGGACCTCGGGACGTGGCTGAAATGATGTCCTGGGAGCCATGGTGGAACGGTCTGACGTGCCACTGATGGTTTTGGTTTTGATTTTGATCCAGGTACAGCAACATCTGCTCTGTTCTTGTTCTCCAGAGTTCGGAGCGTGTGAGGAGCTGTCAGGGGAATCACCAGTATTTTCATTTCTACTTCTTCAGGTATGAAGATCTTATATGGCTTTATGTTTTTGATGTTCCTTACATTGGTGTTAGTTTAGGAATATTTTTATCAGTGACACTAGAATAAACCGAGTGATTACACATGTCTTTTTATGCAGTGATGTCTTGACCCACCTGCATACAGAGGCTGTAAATGTGCACAGGTCTGAGTGCTTCTGACTTAAAATAACCGCTGCATCTTGTGGCAGTGGTTTGTGATGGATTGTTGGTGCAGCAGCTCTGGCTCACAGTTGCTTCCACTGTGTTTCTCTGCAGCCTTTGGGCTTTGCCATATTACTATGTTTTCCCATGACCCAGTAGTCTTTTGAGGAGGCTTGATTCTGTCTTGCAGGTGCTCAGCCTGATGCATGATGCAACAAGTCACATGGAGTGGTGGTTCCACCAGTGACTGTCCATGTGAGAAGCGTGCATTTTGCTTCCTGAAATACATGCAGTAAAGAAAGCAGCAACAAGAAACAGGTGGAGTGAAACCCCTTTCTAGCTCAGGACATACTCAGCCATCACTCCATTTTAAATGCAGTCAAATAACCCTTGTAGCTCACTGCTTTCTGAGGCCTTGTGGCTGGTGACTTTTATAGCTTTTCACAAAGTGAATAAAATGGAGTTGCTCAGAAATCCCCAGTAGACAATAACTGGAGTCCCATTTTGTTGAGTAGATGGAGTTATTGGCAGGCTGAGTGAGACGCTCGGCCAAGATAATTCAAGTGGGTTTGTGAGTATCCAGATGCCTGCATAGATGCTTTCTGGTGCGTGCAGGCCAGTCAATACTCTGCCGCTGTGTAAGCAAACAATGGCGTGAGCGGCTGGGCTGTGATGTGGCTGCTGCGGTGGACTGGAGCTGTAATTTGGTGGCTGAGAGACCTGGATTCAATTCTGTGCTCCACCACAGGCTTCCCATCTGACTGGGGCCCAACTCCTTAGTCTGTCTGGGATGGTCTGTGTTGCACAACACAGCGTTGCGCAGAGATCCTGGGGCTGGTATCGTCTAAAGTGTAGCTCTGGGACTTGGAGCAGCCCTCCCTGGGAGCTCTTTAGCTCTGCTGAGGACACAAGCCTCTAGGGCTGCATTGGTGACCCTGTCTGCCAGCTCTGCACCCAGACGACCTCACAGCATTTGGAGCTGACGGCGGATTGCTAGTACAGCGCTGAGGGGTGTAATATGGGCAGGCCCTCGCTTCCTTCCTCATCTTCAGTAGTCTGGTCTGCTTCATAGAGGAGGTTTGAGTGTAAGTAGGCTGGTGATTACGAGGTGCAATCCCAGTGAAAAAGGCCACTGATACGCATGAGGGAGATACCATTTTATCCCTACCCTGCACAGGAGGGTACATACAAGTATGTGGTGGATAGCTTATGGAGTGTCTGTCACAGAGCCTCTGGCAGAGCTTCAGGCAGAGCCTGGGGCTTCCTGTCTTTCTCATGTGGCTCAACACAAGACCTCCTTGCTTGTGAGTGAAGGTAATAGTGACCTTCTGTGGGGCCCAGTCTCCTTTCCCAGTAGCGCTGTGTTTGTTAAGGGAGCTTGCATTTTCCTGGGGAACGAACAATGCCTGACTGTAGATGTGTTCTGAACTCCTATCTGTGCCTTATCTGCCTCTGAAAGGCAAACATGAAACTTCAGATGTTTATTTGCCTTCATGCTTTTAAGATACCACAACCTTGAAAGTACAGTGTCTGAGCTTTTTGCTTTTGAATTGACAACCTCAGTGCTAACAAATGTAGCTTTTCAAATGTGAAGTGAATCCCGCCTTTTTCTCTCCTCTTCCTACTTCTCCCCGCCCCATGCCCCAGCTCCACCTATTTTTTTCTGTCCTGGGGTTTCAGTTGTATTTAATAGCATCTGGATCACAATGGAGACCGGGAGAGTCAAGAGATGAAATGGGGGAGAAGTGCTTGACCACTGGAGGCTGGTGGCACAGGAGGTGGGAATGCAACACAGAGAACCGTGGCTTCCCCACTCAGTGCCAACCACAAAAGACACTGTAAGCACAGACCATCAAAAGTGTCAGGTCTTGCAGGAAACGTGTTGGATCGAAACACCACTCTTGAGAACAAAGGGAGAATTCTTTCCTTACCATCCTTTGTGACTTCAGTGCAGCTACTCCTGGTGGATACACATTTCAGGCATATTCAGGCTCATGTTTCAGCAGAGGGGAAATGTTACAGAAGTGTTGTGCTGAATGCTTAAATAGTCAACTTGCAACCAAGAGCATTTGCAGGGATGCACGCTGTGATGCGCATTATACGCCGCTTTTTGCTGGTGGGACAGTACCCTGCAATCAGACCCCACAGATGGGCTTGCATAACATTTGCTGAGTCTAAACCTTTTTCTGTATGTAAAAAATTACTAAAACCCCATTTTCAGCATCATATGCCAGATGCTAGCCTGTCTTTGAATGGCTGAATTCTTGCATTTTTACAACATGTTGCAAAATTGATTCTGACTGAAACGCAGAATTTACAGCAATTTAGGAGAAGAGTGAAGACTTTGTCTGATGAAGCCCCCTCCCAAGTCAGCGTTCTAAGGACACCCCTGTCGGGCAGTACAGTCCATTCAGATCAGACCAGGTTTGTGTAACTTGGGTTTCACTGGGAAGCATGTAGCCATCCAAACCGTGCACTGACAACCAGATTCTGCTCTGATGTGAGATTTTTGCCATGACCATCTGGCAGGGGATTTCAAATCTTAATAGTTGCTGAAATTCAGGAGGAAACAGCAGAAGTTAAAATGCCTTTCTTTTTGGAGGTGTAACACTACTGACTCATTAGTTCACAGCTGCCCTGACTTTTTATCAACAGTAGAAAGGAGCTGCTCGACTCAGAATCAACACAGTAAATACTGAATGACAAAGAAGTTGGCCACACCACTGCTTCGGTACAGTTTGATCATGGTAACAGAGATCTCTGCTGGTGCCTCTCTGTGGGGAGCAGTCTCTGCAGGGTGAGGATTTTGCAGCTGGGGGAAGAGGAGCGAAGAGGACACCCTAGCAGGAGAAATAAGGGCAGCTATGAAGAAGCTGGCTGAGCAGCGCAGGAGCTGCAAGAACATTTACTTGACTCCTTGTTTCTGAAGAAAGGTCAGCAACAGCTATTGTGGCGTGGTGGTGATTTATTCAGCCCAGCTGCTGGTGAAGGTTTGGACTGAGCTGTAGGGCTTCCTCCTGCCTTTTGACAGTGTCTCTGTTGTTACACATACAGCAAACACCTCGAGGGAGTCGGACAGGGAAACGTCCTTAATTTGAAATCCAGCAGCTGAAAAGGTGTCAGCACTGGTGGAGCAGCAATAAGGGACCAGAGGTCACTGTTGTGGCCATGCGCTGCCGCCTTCAGCATCCCGTAGGGCATTTCTCAGCCCCGAAGTCCACCTCCAAAATGTATGTCAACCACCAAACATATGACTGGTTGATTTGCTTCTGTGTTATTAAGGGCTGTCTGGAGAATTTAATTTATTGGTAAATCAGAGAGAACTGGTAAATTATACTAGATACTAGGATTCATTAGGCATTCAGGCTCTGAACAGGGCAGGTGGGCTTAAAAACCACAAGACAGCTCTTCTAGGTACACTTCTGTTTGCTAGGTCTCAAACATCAGTGAGGTGGTGTGATACGCACACGTGTCAAGCTTTCGAAAGCAGCCAGCATTGTGTTTTCGTTTGGGCAGCTGCCGGGCTGTGCTGCGCGCGGTGGAAGCCCAGCCTCTGCTCCATGCAAGCGTGGCACCTGCCCAGGGCCTGTCAAACCCCTGTCCTTCAGCAGCACAGGCGTTGCTCCTGTCACTCAGCTCCAAAAAGGTCCATGTAGGTCGTTCCTGAACTGTGTGGCACTGGATAGGCTGCCAGGCGCTGTGCAGCAGATGAGCTTGTCAGAGAGGTGCAGGGTGGACGTACAGAGTAGAAACAGATTGGCTAATTCTTTTTTAATTTCCGTTTCTTCAAGATGTTGCTGCCCTGCTCTGTGCCTTTAGAAGTGTGACGCTCATTGGTGCTGGGCACAGCCTGCTGCAGGACGGGCAGTATCATCACGCAGCCAAGATGGTGGCATTTAACTGGAAGGTGAGGATGTTTCACATTCATAAAGCAGGGAATTTCTGCTCTTTCAACCAGATGCGTGTAAGATGTGGTTGGGTGGGTCCTGTGTTTAAAGGTGGTTTCCTTGCCTAGGTGAAGGTTGTTTAACCACCACACTCTCTGCACCTCAGGGACAGAGGACTCGTTGTTGTCCGTCCTTGCCATACGTGCTTGCATCTTGTGGGCTGGCCCCAGTAATTGCTGCTGGGGCCTCACACTCCAGACCTGAGCACAGGGCTGGTAGGGAGGCTCTGCCTCTGCTTGCCTCTGCTCCTCCTGGCTTTCCTCTTTCTGGGCTTTTCTTCAGCTGCTCGTTCCTCAGCTCTTTTTGCTACTGGAAGGTGCTTTCTCCACTATGTCTTTTAGTGTATTGGTGCCATAAACACTCTGCAGGGTACGTGTGTAAGGCACAGAAATGTTTGACCAAATACCTCAGCATTAACAATTTTAGCATGTTGGATCAAACCATTTATCGAGAAAGCAATGCTAACCCCAAGCCTTGCCTTTACCTTTCTTGTGTTGCAGAGCTGTGGTTTAAAGAGATTGCCACTTTCAATATGTGGGGAGATTGACAGAGGATGATGGTTTTTTGCAAAATTAGAGGGGAGTGGCCTGATCTCAAAGGTAATGTGCAGCTTGTAGAGATCAGCATTATAAAAGACCCCACTCGAGCCTCTGATTTGTGGACTTTAAGGGGACACACTAATGATGTATGGATATAAGGCTCTTTCTAAATTCTGTAGTTTGACAGTGACCAAACAGCTTTATGAGGTGCTGGAAGGCCTGCCACACTGGGAGGCTTGCCAAGGGGGAGCTGGCACTGTGAACCTACTGTGCATCCCTGAAGGACCAGACCGATCCTGCTGGCGAGGTGGCCCTTTGAAACAGTGGGCTGGGGAGTTCATGTATCCTTCTGGAATTGACATCTTTCACAGAGTGCTGGTGCCCCTCTCATTATATTTGTATTCTGAGTTCACAGTGTTAGCCATTTGCCTTTTATTTTCCACTCCACGTGCACTTACAGTAGCATGCTTTTATAGCATTGAAATATGTTATGCAGTTTCAGTGGTTCCAGGCATTGAGAACTCCTGAATCGTTGGAGGCTGTGGGTTTTTTACTTTTCTTCTGGTTTGAAGGCATTTATCTATACCTTCCAGATCTGGGGTATTTAATTGCAAAACTACCATGGATTAAAATTTCTAGGAGCACAGAAGTGTATTTGGAGATCACATCTGATAGCTGATATGCACGGATCCATCGCTCATGTGAGAATTGTCCATAAGTGTTTCCACTTTTATAATTATCCTAAGATACTCAGTTCTGCCCTTTTCCAGCTCCAGATTGTGCCAATCTTCCATTTGCAGTAAAGGAAGCAAAAGCCACAAAGTCACGTTCAGAGGGGCTTCATATACAAACTTCAGTGAACTTGTTTTTGTCCTTACCCCTAGATGTTGATCTGCCTAGTTTAAAGTTTCCTGCAGAAAAAATGAAGCATGAACAGAGGAGCATTACCATTGCTTTGATAATGCTGTTGCTGTAGGAAGCAGTATAGCATCCCTGTAGATTAATTTTTAATTGTTCAAGTGTTCCAGTAACTGCCTAAATATATTATTTTACATTTCAGGCTTTGGAGAATTTCCCATTGCTGATGTACATTTTGGCAGCTAAAACATTGATTCTTTGCTTAGCGTTTGCTGGAGTGAAAATGTACCAGAGCAAAAAAATTGAAGAAAAACTGAAGAGGCAACGTGAAGAGAAATTGAAAACAGAAGCAGAGAAGAAGGATGATTGAAGAGTCTTTCAGGTATAGAATTTATTTGACATCCGGGTGTTTGATAGTGGCATTGACATATTAATCCCATTATGTTTTGACTTGGATGCATTTGGATTGTGCAATTAGAATTATCACCATTATCTGACTTCTTGTAATATTTGTCTCCTGTGATGTTTCAGTGTATTTGCACACTCACATCATGCCCATTCTTTGTGGGAATTGCAGTTACCACCAGAAAACTTGGCAGCCATGACTTGTGATTTAGGAGATCTTACTACAGTATTCCTTCTCTGCTCTTAATCTCCCTGAATTTTTCTGCCCAACCAATTGCACAGGAAGTCCTGATGTGTAAAGAGATGGGTAAATTGGACAAAAAATGCATGAGAGGCATGCCAGACAGGATGATGCAATGAGACCTCTTGGCCTTAAGTCACATGATTAAGACAGAAAAGAATCATCCATTCCATATTAGTTAAATACATGACGAGCTGTAGGTAGTTTAGCTGGCAGCACCAATTCTCATTTCCTTTATGAAGGTTCTCTATCGGATGTTGAGACATATTTTATTGGACCGTCACACGTGCCATGGAACTTCCCAAGGTAACAGATATGCTGCAGGTTATACTGTGTAAGATCCACCATATATACCTCACTGAGAAAAATGGACATCTTTCTGCATAAGAGCAAAATGAACATTACAAAATTCCTTAAAGGTTTGGGTTTTCACTCCCCATGCGCTGAATTTCTTCCCTCTGTTTTCAAAATTTAAGCAATCATTGCCTTATCAGATCAAGCCCATTAGCAAAATGAGTACTGCCTAAGTGCTAAGATTATATTCCCTGACTTGTTTGGTATGTGATTTTTGTATCCATTCATTTCACATCTCTCTGTTCTGCAGCAAAATGGTAATTCTATTCCTGCCTGCCCTTTGTAAGCTCAGTGGGAGTTTGATGTAATGTTACTCTTTATTAAACTAAAAAACTTTCCCCTTTTCAGGTCATCACCTCACATATGAAGAGAGTTTCAGTTTTCAGAAATGTTTACTAGTTTTGATTTGAAACCTATTGCTGTTTTATTTTGTGCAACGAGAATTGGAAATTGTGACTAGAAACAGGGCTCTGGAAATAACCATGGGAACAAAGTGGTTTGTTCGCATAGAAAAAACAACAAAAACAAAGGTGTTTTTCAGTCTCCTGTTTACATCAGTTTGAGGACTTGTTTCTGGGCAGACTTGTGGCATTTTAAACTTTTATTTTAAATCAGTTTCACTAGCCACTGGAAAATGCTGTGAGAACACTTCTTTCCGTTTTTGCAGACTAAGTCAGAGTAAGTTACATGGAGTTTTATTGCGAAACAAATGAGAGATGGGCAGCCCTGCAAGTGGGCAAGCCTGCTACTTGGGATGAGGAGACCATACTGTGCTGTGTGTGCAGCGCTGCGGCCCAGGGAGCTCTGTCTGGCAGAGTCCATAGCCCAGGGGATTGCTGCACCAGGATAACGAGCTCATCTCACAAGGCCTCTGTGTCCAGCACGTGACGCTGACCTGGTTGAATGACTGGCCTTAAAGCATCTCTGATTCTGTGGAAAACACCCTTCTTGCCCAGTCACCCAGTGTTGCCCACCTGAGGCCCAGCCCTTCCTCAATTCTGCCATCTCTTGGGCTGTCAGCCATGTCTTTCTGTAATGGGCTTTCAGGAAGGGGTGAATTCTCCTACCCTAAAAATGTTCTCCAGTGTCAGCGCTGCAGAGCTGTGATTAGCTCCAATTGCAGCGCGCCGCATGGGCAGGCAGATTTAGCCCATGTGCTGCCAGCATATCGTGCCTGCTGTTCTCACTGCTGTTTCCCCACCCTGCAGATTTGCTGACACTTGGCAGCTTGCATTGGATTCCTTTCCTGGGAGAGCGAAGCCTTCCTGTAGATGAAGGATGTGTCAAAGGAATAAAACCCTCAAGAGTAACATTCACTTAAAATGTATCTCAACTTTTTATACATACAGCAAAATATCTAAGCCTCTATTTATGCAATAAAAAATCCTTTGTAAAAAAAAAAAAAAAAAAGTAATGGCCTTGGTTGCTGCTTACTCAAATTCTACAGCTAGAGCTGCAGGGGAGGCAGTTTTTAATGATTAGCTGCAAGGAGGCAGTTTTAAAGAGAAAAACACTGAATCCATCATGGGTCTGTACAAGGTTCATGGATAGACAGAAGGAAATTGGGAGGGCTCTGTGCAGCTTTGTCAGAGCAACTGCTTCCTGCAAGGGTGTAAATGTGAGACTTGTGGGCCCTTTGTTGAATCCAGATGAACAAAGAGAGGAGCTTTTCCAGGTAGGTCTTTCTCAAACCACTTTCTGCACCTAGAGTTGCCTTAGATTAGTACAAATCCCAGCGTCACCTTTGAGGAAATTTCATGCTAGGAATCTTGTTAAATTGCTCTGCACAGTATCTGAGAACTGTGTATGGCTTTCTATTTACTACTTGGCCTATGAAGCATAGAGGATTTTCATTACCATTGCTAGCTATTCCTGCATGTGCAGTAACGCCAAATCTTGGAGGATAAGCTAACTTGGTCATGGTAGGTTAATCAACAGCGTAGATTTTTTCCACAGGAATAAAGTCTTGGGCTTGTGTAGCAGTGACAACAGGTACATTTGCCTTCACGTTTCCCTTCATGTTTCCCTTCACGTTCCCCATATAAAGCACTTCCTAGATCCTTGTATCTTCTGGAAGTTAAGGTGAAGCTGAAATCAGACAGTGGAGCGGGGCAAGGAGGGGAGAGTTGGAGGGCCTTCGGAGAAGCCTTGGGAGTCCAGCAGGATGTGGGAGGCCTCGGGGATGGCTCGCTCCTGCCCTGTCCCTGCGACTGGGGGCTGAGGTGCCTGGGATGGTCACACCAGCTCAGCCTCTGCACTGCCTGGCTTGCCGGTGCTACCGGACTAAGCATGTGTGCTCTGATAACGGCTGGTGCTCCGGGAGCTCTCGCTGTGGTGGGGTTACTCACTGGAACCTGCAGTGAGTTTTAGAATCTCCCCATTTGTGCGGTCACCTTGGTGACTGGGGAATACGTGTACTGCAGAAACCCATTCCAGGGATAGAGCAATATCCTTGCTACAGCAGCCTCAGGGCTGTCAGGCTAGGGAATTCCTAGTGCCATTGTAAAACAGCAGTTTCCCTCTACAGCCTTTGCAGTTCCCTGTCTATGCAAAGGTGGAGTTGAATGGTAATTTAATTAAGTGGCTCTTCGGTGTTCAGTGAGAACAGACTCTGCTAACCACCTCCATTAAACAGCTATTGAGGGAAAGGCACTAAGGTACTTAGCTAAGCCACACACCCAAACCTTACCAGGAAATTATCAGGCCTATGGACTGTCTACCAGCTTCAGAAGGAAGCATTGTCTTCACTCCTTGCACTCACCAGTTGCCTTTGAATACTGGCCCCTATCTAGATTTTTTTATAGACTCTCAACCAAGAGTAGATTTTTCTAGACCAATAGTAATAATGAGCTGCTTTTTTTTTGTTGTTTTTTAAACTAAAAGCAGAAGTATTCTCTACTTCAATACAGTTGGTCTGTAATCAGGATCAGAGGTACACAATGTCCCTTTAAAGCAAGTCATTTAGCATCAAAGCAACTGTGCTCCAGTTGGGCACCATTTAGCACCCAAAGCAATCAAGACTGCCATTAAAATCTGGGGTCCCTACCTTGCCAAACATGTGCAAGAAGGGCATTAACACAAGGAGCCACTTTTCTGTCCCTGGCTTGAATGAGGGAGAAAGCAGCTGTGAGGAGTCTCCTCAGAAGTCCTCCGCAGCACTACCCTTTTGCCTCTACTGCCAAATCAGAAAACCTTTGCATGTGTAAGACTTCAAATCTGGTCCAACCTGGCTGCTTTTTTCCTTAACTTTGGAGTAGTGCTACAGCATAGATAACCCCTAGAGTTTGTGATGGGTGTCACAGCAGCCTGTTTCCAGAAGAGCTTCCAGAATAAGGAGAGATCTTCTCCATTCCCATACCTGAACCAGTCTCTGTTCTCTGACATGCCAGGGTGGAGTTTTAATCTGTGCTTTCACTGGGTAGGTTACAGCAGGTTTTTTTACCCTTGGGCATCCTATGTGCCACAGTTGCAGCCTTGAACAAGAAAATATGCTGACACTGGGGGGAGACAGAAGCTCAGATTTGTTTCAGTTTCTTGTTCAGAAACCAGCTGGGGACCTCGAAGTCTGGTTTCTGACTGAACAAAGTGTTATACGATTAGTCCTGGCAAGTTTAAAAGAGGAACAGAATTCAATTTGATCGAGTTTCTGCAAGTGAGAGGAGGCAGCAAGGATAGAGAGCCTTGACATGCTCAGAGCGTACGAATGTGCAGCCTGTTAGACAGCTGGGGATCTACACAGGGTCCTTTTGTAGATGTTCCCATCCCAGAAAGTGGGTCAGGTCACACTCTTCAGGTGCCTACAGAACTACAGAGTCTCTCCTCCCCTGTACCATAAAATCACACTTTTCAAAAAGAACATTCATGTTATATAGATGGGCAGCTTAGCCTTACACAGTACCTCACTTGAACAGATCTTTCACTGGCAGATGTTGTCATTGTCACCAGTGCAAAGTGTTGAAGACTGAGAAAATAAAAGGATTACTGGTTTTAAACTTCTAGTGTTTGCACCTTTAGGCTTTCTTTTACTGACTAAAAAAGCTGTGTGTTTTTAAACAAAAACTGAAATCCTGTGTAGTAATGAAGAAAGGAGCTGTTGGGATTTTTAAGTGAAAAAAAATAATTTCTAACAGGTTCTGAGATGAATTAAGTAGCTGCTGGAGTAGGGCTCTTCCCACCTGAAGATGCTCAGTGGCTCTGGGGTATCTGTGGTCCTTAAAGTGAAAAGTAAGTGAAGAAGCATTCAACAGGACCGTTTTCTCATTATTCATTTTAGACTTTGGCTGAAATGAACTCAGTTTGATTTTAGTACCGCTGAATGCTTTTAGTCTGAAGGCCACAAGACTTTTACCAGAAACACAACAGCACTGGTGCTGGAGGAAGGCAGAACTCCCTGAGCAGTGCCCCAGGGCAGGAGAGATTGCTCTCCAGCCATCGTGCTCCAAGTCAAGTCAGTGAGCTAAATATTTTTCAGCTTTTCGAAGAACACCACATGCAAACAACTATTTCCAACATTTCCTTCCTCAGTTTTTGTCTTGGGGATCAGCAATTCCAGCTTTTTTTTTCCTGCTCAATAAAGGCCCTGAAAATGTTCTGTCTGGGGTAGAGTCCTTCACGGTTCTTCTTGGTCGCAGCTCTAACCTGTGACACTCAGTCAACGTCTCTGCTTACCTGATGTCCACCCCCTGGCCTCAACTCTGGCTGAAGAGGAGCACTGCAGCAAACTCTTAAAGCATCCTTTCCAGCTCTGTCATGGGAGAAAGCAGTAGACTAAGCTAAAACAAACCTCACTTGTTTCAGCCTTCACCAGTTCTTCACAGTCTTTGCAAAATTGCTTCTGAAGATGCATCAACTTGTTGCATCCTCTCCCTATTTATTAACTCTCCTCACTTGAAGGAGTTGACCACCCCGTGATGGTCTCATGTCTGACATGCTCCTGATCACATGGAAAACGAAAAAATGTACAACCCACATGAGTGTGCGGAGACAGATCAGGCAAAATTTCTAAAACCTGAGCTTATGTTTCCTCCCCAGACATGTGCCAAAAGCCATTTTCAGATAGGCTGGCAGTAAGTGACTACCTGGTCTGGGGACTCAGAGGTGGCTGGATGTTTATACACAGCCCATGTCACTCCACAGTTTGGCTTTGGCTTTGGAATCTGAGTTGTCTTGGCTACTGGAACAAGCCCAGCATATCATCTAGACTCAGCTGGACCTTGATTGGCATATGTGCATACCAATCTCAGGGATAATCGGAGCACCAGCTGGCCCTTCTCCAGCTGATAACAGAAATACCTGGTAGTTGCCAGAACACTTATCCCCATAGCAATGGACTCCTCATATGTTCCTGTAGGGAAAAAGTTTGTTTGGGCACGAATAAGTGATTAGGCATGTATTCATGTGTATCTCCATATGGCATCAATTTCTCTCGCTTTGAATCTGATGAGAGAGCTATTGAAAATGTCTGTGTGTACCAGCATCAAAGGCTGCCTCACCAAGAGACTGTTTCCAGTCTATGCAAAGGCTCTTGAGATGGCTGTCACAGAGCAGAGAATGTATATAGGTGCTTCCTGTTGATCACTAGAAACACAGCATGTGTGACTATCATTTCTTATTAGTCTCTTTTTTCCCTGGACTTCCTCACATTAGTTGGTTTTGCTCTCCAGTGCCTCAGCTTCTAATGGTGTGGCACTTTCCCAGTCCTATGGCTCTTTTCATTTGCTGTGACTCATATTCCTCTGGCCTAAACTCAGGCTAATTTCCTGGCTTAGTGGTTCTCATCGATTTGAGGAGGCTTAGAGCTAGCCGACAAATGTCAGACACTGACAGTTAAGTGCAGTTTAAGTCATATAAATGAGTCTGGCCCTTACATGTATTTGTTTTCTAAACCAGTTTTCTTATTTTGCATTTCTTACATAGAACATTGTTCCTGTATCTACCCCTCTTTCTTCTCTGCGTTTCTCTCCAGAGCTCCTCGACATGGCCACTGCAGAAGGGAATGTCAAGGAACAAGTTCACTGAGACAGAAGCTGGGCTTTGAGCGATGGTGGTTGCCTTTCCCCTACCTGGCCAGCTTCCTCGCAGTTTCCAGGCATGGCACAAAATGGGCCCGACTCTGCCTGCTCAGTCACAGAGCTCACACCTTGTGTCCCATCATTACATCCCTGGCTTGGGACTCTGTAGGCTCTTGTCCCAAGTGCATTTGTCGCATCTGTACCCTGTGTTGCAGTATGCTATTAGGACAGAAGACTTGAAAATAGGGGAAAAAATGTGTTGAGCCATTCATTAGAGGCCTGCTTCATGAGCTGGAGGAAAATAAATGTTTTCTTCCCTGAAGACAAGGCTTAGAAAAGCATTTAGAAGTAATTAGTCAATGAGACATCATGAAAATTCAGGTGATTTGCATTCCAGCTAGTTTAGAGCAGAGGGACATCTGTTATAGCTTCTTCATCAACATATGCATTTGCATCTGCCTCTCCTCTTTATGCAAAGATACTTTAATCATTTTATTCTAGTGGTGCATTTCAGTCACATAGAGTTATGAGTGGGAGCAAAGAGATTTGCTTTGACATCCTGCAATGGTCAAGTGTACTGAGCCTCACTACAAGAGCTATTGCTAGCAAACCTAATAAAATAATAGGTATTTAAAAGCCTGCCAAGAAGATATTAGACTCATGTATGCTATTTCAAGTGCTCTTGAATAAGGTGCGTGCTATTTGGTAACATCCTCCTAGCTTGTTTAGTCATATGTTAAAGGAATTGCTTGTCATCCTAAATTACCAGTTGAGTCAGAACTGCATGAGCCATAATATTTTTCTTCAGTACAAAGGGTTACAACGTTTTGTAGAAAACATGGGTTGTAATTACCCTTATGCAGCAGCAAAGGAGGAGGGAGGAAGAAAGAAGAGGACTCATCTCAGAGGATTTTATATAAAATACCAAAGTTCATTCAATTTCAGACTTGGTTCTTTTTCCTGCGTCTATACACATTAAATAGGACTGGGTAGAAAAGTTTTCACCAGAGTGAAGGTGTTTAGTGAGGCTTTCCCAGCCCTTTACAGGAAAAGGACGTCTCTCCCTCACTCTCTGGGAGATGTGGCACCAAACACTTCTCTTTCCTCATGCTTGTTTCTGTGAAACCCTTCCTGGAGGCTTCACCCTTGTTTTACCAAAGAATACAAGCCAGGGAAGACTGATGAATTCCTGTGACACAGATTACTTCCTTTTGATACTTCCTCGTTGCTAAAATGGCTGGAAAGCAGGTGATTCTGCGCCTGTCCCCATGGACCCCACTGCAAATTCGGGGTGGCAGAAGACACACCCTACCAATGAAGAAGCATTGCAATGTGGCCCTAAACCTGCAGCTGCGCAAGCCACGGCAGCAGAGACCGGTAAGGCTGAGCTGCGGTGAGGCAGCAGCCCGGGACTCTGCTCCATTCAGGTTTGGTCTCGTTCTTCTTCCCCTGAATCCAGAACACAGCAGTGAAGTCATTGGGTTTGTGCTGATTTGACTGTAGCGCACTGTTACTTCTCCCTGTGTAGGACAGTGCAGCGTCATCGGGTGAAGGTAAACAGTCATTGGGAAAATGGGGTGTGCATCATTTGTTTCTTAAGAAAACCAAGCTACTGTGCAATTACTGCCTGTCCTTGTGGTAAAGAGGCACCAGACCTATTTCTTTCCTCATGCTGATTTCACACCACTTCATATTCATTGATAGTGGAGCAATTGCTGCTTCAAGCTAATGTGAAATTATGTCCAGGGCCCTGGTACCAGGACAATAAAAACTTTCCTGCCCCTTTCCATTCTCTCCCCCTTTTTCCCCATTCTTTCCTCCTTGCATTTGAAGCACCCAATTTTTCATTCTCTGCAGCATCCATACCTGTAAAAAATAAGCAGATTTTTGCTGATGAATATGAAGCTGAGAAAAGATGGTTATTTTTCTCTGTATATTCATATCTTGGCTCTAGAGAATTACATGCATGGATTCTTCTGAAGGTAGATGAGACTCCCTTTTTTAGGTATATCTCTGCCACACCAAATTACAATGCTCATTTAGATGGTTTCCGCACACAGGAGAAAAACTGCACAGATTTGCCTCAGTGTATTGAAATGTTTTAGTGAACCTGTGAATCGTCTCATAACTTATTTATGTTTTTATGGTCTTAGTTCTCTAGAAAGTACACAATAAACACATGCCCAGGAATGAGCAACACATAGAATGTAAATTGGGAGCCACTTTCTAAAACACGAGAAAATGTTCAGTGAACTTGAAAAAACTGCTAAGAAATACTACTCAGCATCACTCATAAATAATCTTTTGAGCTCAATTTCATGAGAAATCATTACATCTCAGTAATCAGTGTCACGGATAAAGAAAATCTCCAATTACGAGTGCTGTGTTTTATCCTGAGAGACTGAACTGTTCATGCTTTAAAGCCTGAACCAACTACTAAATGTTAGGCTTCAGAAAGGAACTTCCCTGTTAGAAAAATTTCTTTTACCTGTCAATTAAATGTTTACTGCAGACCACTGTTGGAAGCAAGGTACTCAGTGTAATGAACTACTGAGCTGGTATCAGATGTTAGTGCATATATGATGGGAAAATCCCATTAAGTTCTTCAGACTTCTTTAAGCCATGGACTCTGTCAGTCCTGGGCCAGCATGCTCCCTGCTCAGGAACAGATATCCCATTGGGTTCAAAGACAGGCTTGACTTTCAGAATTCATTTCACAGCCCAGTCTCTCTTGAAATTGAGGGCATTTACATCTGAGGCATAGTGTTGTGGCTCCCATAATGGAGGAATTTGTGCAGAAGGCTGGATAAACTGGATCCTAGGCACACTTTGGCCCATTTTTGTGGTAAGGCAAATTAACTGTCCCTTCCCGGTGCAAGCGTAGCTCATATAAATCTAGTCATGGAATATACCTAAAGTGAAACATTTGGATTTAAAGTATATCTTTTATTAATGCTATTAAGATGAGTTTTTTGGTTTACACACTTTGAAGGAAGGGGCTCGAAAGGGCTGGGATGGGGTAACTCACTCAACACCAATCAAAACACATTTGAAGCCTGACTGCAGGAATAACCATTTAAGAAAGTGTGTCAAGGTAGTAGCTCTCCCATCTCTTCACTCTGTTAATTGCTACCTTCCATTTGTTTGGGGTCATCTTCTCTATTCCTTTAACAATCGAGTCACTGAAGAGGATACACCTATAGGAGTGGGTCCTCTCAGTAGACCTCAGGGCAAAGTCCTTCCTGTTGTTTATAATAAACCATTTCAAAGCAGACCAGGTGATGTCCATAGGATAAAGATGTAAGATGAAGGCACAACAAGAAGCTCATGACCATTGGCTCTAGCACCTTCAGGGGAACACTCAGTGCTGGACGTGTAGATTGCTGGTGGAACTGGTGGCGGAGTTCCTGTCTCCATCTCCTTGCCATCTTTTGCCCCCACATGCATCAGCTGCATTTTTGTCCCTCATCATCATTACTCACTTCCTACAGGACATGGTCAGAGATTCACACAACTCCTGAAAGATACCATTCTGCTAATGGATGGGCAGATCACCTCTTAATAGTAGTTTGTAACTCCTTGTGTGAACAAGTATCCGTACCAGCCAGCACAGGCTGGCCTCCTCAGCCATTTTTTCTCCTGTTATAATACTTTCTGGAATATCTGTTTCTACTTGAAATACAGTGTTGAAACCGTTAAGCTGAAATGTCCTCAGAGCTCTTAAGTACTGCAGGCAGTGCCTCTTTGAAGCAGCATCAAAGCAGCCCTTTGCAAATTGTGTGCCTGAGGAGCAAATCTGTGAAGCGCTGTATGCTGGTGTCTCAAGGCTCATGAAGGATGCTCACAGAGCTCACCATGTGCCTGTTGCCCCAGCATTACTCCCAACCAGCATCAGCATCAGCAGGGGCTTCCAGGTGGCTGATCAAAAGGCATCTTGGAAAACAGTGGTCCCATCCAGCTGGGAAGGCTGCAACTGTGCAGCTAGCAGCTTCTGGCATCGGGGCGTTGCTCATCTTGAACATCGTGGTTCCTTCTCTCACAGCACTGGGTGGGTGCTTGGGCCCTGTGTACGTGTGCAGGCCAGCCAGGCACTGCTGAAAGGGGTCCAGAGGGATGGGGATGTGGAGGAAGGAGCTGCCCAGAGTCAGCATAGAGAGTGAGCCAGTGCCTGAACTTTGGGACCAGTGGTAGAAACTATTCCCTCCCTCCCTGGCAAGTATGTGGCCTCATGGAAAATACAGCCTTGAAATCCCCCCAGGTGGAGGAGGGGGCTGAACCCCCATTGGCTTGTTATGGGGGGAAGGAGGACCTCTGCGCCCTCATATGAGCCTCTGTGGTGGGCAGGCCCAATCCTGGCAGCGTTGCGAGGTGCTGCCTGATGCCCAACACTCAACAGCACAACAGCCTATGCAAGGTCCACCATGCTGAGCCTGCCCAGCTCCAGGCCTTAGAGGGGAAAGAAAGAAGTGATGCCTTGGACATTGCTTCAGGGTGAGGTATTTGTAGGAGTAATTTGGTTTCTAGAGTCCTCTTATGTTCCCACTTCGTGCACCCATTTCTCCATTTTGTGCTGGCCCGACTGATGAACCCTTGAGGGACCTGCATTGAGCCCAACACCAACACCACCACCCTGACCAAGGGTAAGCAACACCTTCAGAGAAATGGAAGGGATTATGGGGGAAAAAGAAAATTGCTCACATGCTCATGTGAACACACAGGCTGAAAGGAAGGTCAGAGCAGAAGGCTGCACAGGTACGACCCTGCTGCCATGGCAAGTCAAACAGGGGCACAGGAGCATGTGGCAAATTGAGGGTTGCAGCCAGCTTGGGGAGACGAGAACTGTCAGGGGAAGATGTGTGCAAGTGTCTGTGTGCATGTGTGTGTACAAGTGTGTGTGTGTGTTCACAAGTGCACCAAGGGCAACAAGTGTTAAGCTGGGGAAGGCTGCGGGGAGGCAGAAAGTAAAGACTATTTTGGCCAATCAGGTTTCTTACCTGTCCCTCCTCCTCCCTGAAGATGCACACACAGAATTTTACCGCAGGAACAAGGTTGTCAGTACAAGACTGTTAAATTGCTCTCACTTAGCTGTACCTACAAGGCTGGGAGTGAATGTTGGCAGCATCGTCAGCCTGCCAGATGGAGCTGAACAGCACAAATGTGTCAGTCCCTGATGACGGCACGCATTTCCTTGCCCACCTCTGAAATTGAGATACCCCCACAGTCCACGTCATCCCCTCTGGAACAGTTTTCCTTCCCCCTAGCACAGTGGGAAACTCTGTGAAGTCAAAAAATTTCTGAAAATTAACATGACCAGTGGAGTCTTAACTCAGCTGTTTGGATGCTCTCCTTGCTGAGGCAGATGAGGGATGGTGCACATCATGCTAGCAGCATCACATGGAGAGAAGTAGTCTGAAAATCTGATATAAGAAGGGTATACCCCCAGGATGAATCCTATATGGTTTGCTAGCCAGGTGCAAAAGGATGGCAGATTCAAACTATACACATAGAAAGAAAAATCTTTAAATATACAGTATATATTCATATGAGACTACAACATAAAATAATACTGACTCATCTTTATTAGCATTTCATGCTGTGGTATACCTTTCTCATTTAGTGTTAGCTTTGGTCCTTAATAAATGGAACATACTGATATACTGACATGAGTAGTCCTACTGAAGTTATTGGGTGCTTATTAGTTTTGAAAACTGCACATGTTTAGAGGACTGATTAGGGCCTGAGGTCCCCCAAAACGCTGATTTTGGGACCTCACTGTTCAAGAAATAGATGTAAAGTCTTGAAAGAACTACCTGTAAAGAAATCTTATTTTCTAATTCTTCTCAGTGCCTGTGACAAGCATCACACCCGTGACACCCACTGGAACTGCAAATAATATTCCCTGTTACCTAAACTGAAGGTGTTGTTTATTTGTCTCCTCTCTGGAGAGGATTTACTCAATTGTCCATGAGTTGGAGCATGCCATCTTTGAGACAGACACAAAGAAGGGCATGTCACTTTTGTTACTCTTGCTTTCAAGCTCCCTTCTGATTGAATGGATGCCTGTAGGAAACAAGGCATGGGAACAACATCCAGGCAGTGTCGCTGGGTACAAAAGTGAGGTAGGGCTTCCCATCTCCTTCCCCGACCTCTCCTCCCTCTCTGGGCTTGTCCCTGAGGCCTCCTGGCCACGCCAGGCTAAGGACAGCTCTAACACTGCCCACCGTGTCCTGTCAGACCTGCCCCTGTCACCAGTGGCAAGCAGCAGCTCTGTGCTGCTGTCCCCCACAGGCTGCCCACGGGCTGAAAGCTGCAGCGCCCAGCCCCTTCGTGCTGGTGCTCCCGGACTGCTCCATGAGGCAACCCAAGGCACAGAAGTAGCGGTCAGGAGATGCGCTTCAAAAACACCATCATCTTCTGAGCTGGACCACACGTAGGTACCGCTGGGGATGCCAGGAAAATTAGGCTTGATGTTCGTCAGTTTGGGCCCCCTAGAGCGAGCAGACCTGAAACTGTTGCTCTATCACTCCAGGCTTTTGTGGTTTTGCAGCATGAAGGCAAACGCTGAGCGACAAAGACAGCCTGCTGCTGTAGGCTGAGTGCTTGTCGGTGCTTTCACGTGCCGATGAAGGGACTTGGCAGGGTGGATGAAGGAGGTGCAAACCAGCCTTTTGGCTAGCAAGGCCTTAGGCACGGGCCAGGTCTGTGTCACTGCATTGTGGTGCTGTCCCAGAAGGACATGGTGATGCTCTTATGCTGTCAGGTGGCATCACCATGCCTGCATCTCTGGCTGGCCCTGGCTTGCTTCTCCAGCCACCGCGAATTGCTCTGAGACTAACTGAAAATACCCATGATAATGCAGCTGATATGTAGTGAGACGGGAGGGATGGGCTGCTTTCATGTCCTTTTCAGAGTAACTATTTGAGAAGTGGATTCTACTCTGTCCCATATAAAGGACATAAACCCACCTGTTTACCTACTTTAAAACAATTATTCATGGTCTCAGTGTCTCCACATCAATTAAAAAAATTGGGCAGCACACACAAGTCGCTGGGCTGAGACACAAAAATATGTACTTTATTTCCCATGCTTCTTTTAGTCTTCTGTGTTACTTTTTGCCTCTTTTTCCTCACACCCCATGTCTACGTAAACAGTGAGCACTTCAGAGTAGGGACCTCTCCTCCTTTTGTAATTTTAGACTTGTGACATTCCCTAGCAAAGCCACACGGTGCAAAATATCTGCGCATAGCCCCTGCCCCACAAGTGCATTTGGGATTTGGGAAAAGGCACTTACATCACTCTCTTACCCTTCAGCCGTTGCACCAGGACCTCCTGCTATCGCCGTGGGTGCTACCTGCCCCCCCGGGTGTCTGTGGGTGTGGGAGGGTGGGCTCAGTGGCACATGGAGCATCTCACAGGGGTGCTCGGGCTCAGCAGCCTCCTGTTCCCCCTGGGAGGAAGGTGGGAAGCCTGTCTCCAGCCTGCCGCCAGCTCCTCCATCACTGCCTGGGTACACGAGTGAGCAGTGACAACCCTCCCCCCATGCACTTTTATGTTGCTTCACCAAATTCCATGGTACCACTTAGCTAAATAACAAATTTACCAATTACTATGAACAAAGTCCCCATTAATGAAGCAATTAGGATACCAATTATCAGTTACATACCAATTACCCGTTTCAGCAGTAATTATGTTATTAGGTTACCAGTCACCACATTCTATATGCAAGCTAAAAATCGTCACAAACCCTTTATTTAAAAATGCCAAATAAAACCATAATGAAATACAGAACATAATGAAATATACATCAACAGTAGGCATGATGTTAGGCAAACAGTGGATGCTTTTACTGCTGCATTATATTACATGTAGCAGCAAAAATTAAGTTGCTAATTTTGAAATTTAAATTTTATTTTTATCAAAATTTTTTGTAAGTTTGAATTATTTTTTTTTTTCCAAAACCAGCACTGGAGAACATTATCCATCAGGGAATTAGGTTCTCTTCCAGGTTTACATGGAGTGAGAAAAATTAGGATTCTTTTTCTAACAAATACCAAACCCAATTTAAATAATCTATTTTCCCTCCTAGATGTCTGTTGAAGTCCTGAACACTAGCTAAAGTCCCATGCCAAAGTAGTATTTCTGGTGTCAAATGAGACTTTTCAAAATTGTGTAATTTTAGCTCTTGATCCATGATGAAACCAATAAGAGAAGCACTTGCCAAAATCAAATACAGCCCCAGGATGGAAACAGAAGAAGGTGGAAACTTTAGAAAATAAATTAAGCCAATACCTACAGTAAGAGCCCTAAACTTCTCAGAACAGAGCTAGTACAACTGTTGGTGGTTTCCCACAAAGACCAGCGAGACACCTTCTGAAAACTGATGAAATTTGGTTTCCAGCATTAGGGACTTCTGCAAAGGTTAAGCTTATCTGCCTTTCCCTTGGTGGCATCACAGTCATGGCTTCTGACTAAGCATGGCCACTATTTCAGATAGAAATACTTGGCCATCTGTTGCCTGGACTCTGTAGGAATGAGGTATCTTTATGAGTTGAAGCTTTTTAACAGATGTGGTTGAAACTGTATGTAGACATGTATATGTCTCTCCCTGGGGTGGGGAAGGAAAAACAGAAGCAAGCGCCTCAAGGCCAAGGGGTTGGCATAGAGCTGATGGGTGTGCCTGGGTCTGAGAAGAGGACAGAGCCATTAGGTCTGTTACCTGAGTGGTCAAGGTCTGATTTTAGCTCTCATTACAGAATGTAGAGCCCCTGCTGCATGGTGAGTACAGGGAGGGGAAGGGCTCACCTCATCCCCACCCCAGGTTGCCTGAAGAGCTCGTTATCTGTCAGGGTGTGAGCAGGAACCGGCTCATCCCCAAGGGGACACCAAAGGGGGATATCAGTAGACTTCGCCATGCATCATTAGTGAATTAGTTTTCAGAAGCTCAGTTTGCTGGGAGGCAAAAAGCACTTCCCATGGCTGAGGAGTTCACCCTCCAGCCTGACGCTTCCCTTGCATCAGCCTGTCTGGAAAAGCAGCAACCACTGCTGCAGGAGGTGAAATTTCACTGCACTGAACTTGGTGTGGGCGATGGATGTCTGAAACCTATACCTAACACTCACGATGGAAAAGGAGATTTGACTCTGCCTCCTGACACTGTGGCATGACTGGAGAAATTGATAAACTGGGTCTGCAAAGCAGGAGGAATTGTCACTACTACTAGAAGACAGCCCACAGTCTCCTCTCAAGGCAGAAAATGATCCTTCTCCAAAATGGACAGTGACACTTGCCACCTTCTGGAAAACACCCACACTGGGTAGAAGGAACAAACCTGACACTGCACATGTTTTTTTCTACCTTCAAAACACCTCTCGTTTTTCAGATCTGCATAGCTGAGCTGCAGCAGTGGGAGCACGGCTACTGAGTGCAGTCAGGAGCAGTGAGCATAAATAATGGATCCTGGCTCAAACCGAGCAGTTATTAAACCAGACATGGTAATGAAGCCAAAGGCAATGGGGTCCAAAACTAACTCAACTGCCTAATTGGCCTCTGCTGGAGACAGTGTCTGGGGAGTATGCACCTGTCCAAAAAAGGAGATGTCTGTGTTGGAAAACTGAATCTCTGGAATTCAAAGAAGTGTGGAAAGCCAAGAGAGTAGTGTGGATTTCATCTTGGCTATCAGCTGGAAGTATCAGCCTTAGAATATGTCTTACAAGATCAGGCTCTGGAAACTCCCTTTAAGGATACAGCCTACATGAAATAAATCATTTCCAGGCAGTTGGCTTGGACCAAACAGTGGCAAAATCCTACAATACTAATACTATATCATGGCAGAAAAGGATACATTAAAAAAAAAAAAAAAAAAAAAGAAAAAAAAAGAGAAATCTCAGCAGCAAAGCATGAAGCTACAAATAGAGTAAAAACCTGTTTAAGAAAAGTTAGAAAATAATGTTTCCTTGCGTACAAAATTTTTAAGAACTTTTTTCCTATCAGTAACAAAAAGCAAACACACAAAGAAGCTGAATGGATCCAGCAACATCCATCCCACAGGCATACAATTTTGTAGGATTTCATAGGATTTTTGCTTCAATAACAAAATGCCTTAAAGTTCTCAGAGTATCCGCACCACCAGCTTCCAACCATCATGATTTGCAGGCTCCAGAGCTTTTTCTGATGAATGCATGGACCGAGAACAGCAAGCTGAAGGCCACTGCCCATGTTTGCCTCTCCACAG